GGAACCGATTGAAGGCCCATGACTGTTTTGGTGATTCAGGATAGACTGTTCACTGGACCTACAGCTCTGCTTTTTAGATCAAGTTAAGAAATAAATAGGCTTCCTATCTATTTCAATTTTGGGAACACATAATCAACTCGCCAATGTCATAGGTTTCTGAGAGTCAGACTATTCTGATTACTGCTTTGAAGACTCTGATGTCCATTATGGTAACCATACCCACTTCATCTTTGGTGATTAAGGGCTGCCACTCAGCCCCTGCCACCCCAGGATCTAGTTACTCACCTGGGTAGATCCCTCCTAACCCCACAAGGTAAACATTAAACCCAGAATCTCTGCTTGATGGGGCCATGTCAGTAAATTTGACCTAATTCAACTTTATGTTCTTTCCACAATTATCCCATATTCTTTTTTTTAATTAATCCCACATCCTTAATATTTATTGCCACACATATTCCTCAGAATTCTGTCTGTATAAATTGGGGAAAAGATGCAAATCTTTTCACTGTAGCATACCTCCTCATGGGTCACACTTTGATTAGGAGTATCCAGTGCTGATATTTTATATATTTCTATAGCTATATTAGTCTTTTCTTTCATGCTAGAAATAGAGTCACTGGTGCCTTTAATCAGATTAGAGAACAAATTCTGGAAACCCCAGAACCAATTCAGAAAACTCCTTCTTAAAGTTATATTCCTCTAAAACCATTCTTGGTTCCAAAATCTGTATCAGTTAGGATTTTTCAAAGAAACAACTGTATGTATGCATACAAATGTACATATACATAAACATAAATATTTATGTATGCATATGGAAACACACACATATATGTATGGAGAAAGAGGGAGACAGAGACAGAGAGGGAGACCTTAAGGCATTGGCTGTCATGATTGTGGTAGCAAGGCTCTCTTACTGATTGGATGAGGCTAATGCACATTATTGAGAATAATCTCCAATATTTAAAGTGAGTCAACTGTAGATATTATCCACATTTACAAAGTTTTTTCAGAGCAGAACATAGATCAGATTTTAACTGAATAACTGGGGACTATACCATAGTCAATTTGACACATAACGTTAACCATTACAAATACTAAGCCTTTATTTTATTCCAGAGTCTGCAGGTTGGCTGTAAGTAAGTCTATTTAGGCAGGGATGTGAGGGTGGCTCTGCTTCACCCTATGTTCTATGGGCCATTTAAGAAAGTTTTGCTTTATGTATGTCATTCTGGGCTCTGGCCAAGTGTATGGCAGCTTCTTGAGATGCAAGAAGTGCAAGAGAGCAGTGGGAACATGAGAGGCCATTAAAGAAGTCAACACATGGTCGCTTCAATGTTGGCAGGACTTTAGACTTCACGTGGTGAAGTCTAAAGTCAATGTATGGAGAAGCCACTCCCTCCATGATAAATTTATGGCATGGAAGTGGGTGCCAAGAGAGATAGAGAATCTGGGTCAATCATTCAATTTTCCACAAGTGTTTACATATTTTATCTTATGGTTAATTACAGCCTTGATGTCTTTCACTGCATCTATAGAGAACCAAAAGTTATCAATATAACCTTTATTCAAATGATAGTGTTCACCTAAAAGATATTTCTTTGCTGTGGTGTTTTATTTTTTGAAACTATTTTTGTTACTAACTCAGATATATTATTACTGACATATTTGTTGTTTACTAAAGGCTTCCCCTCAAATATGAATAATTTTATTTCTGACATCATATGCTGTCAGAAAAATATAAACATAAATATATAAATAAATATATATTTATATTTACATAAATATAAATGGAAATAGGCTAAAAGAATAAGATAGAATTATGTATTTGCTTTCATTGGGAAGAACATGTGGAAGTTTAGTGTAATTTTGCCTGGATAAATATTACAGTTGTGCATCCCTACAACATGGGTTATCATATGCATGTATACTTCCTTGCTCTATCAGCTGACAGGGTCTAAGTAAGTGGTTGAATAAATAAATAATAAATGGGGGAAGAACAGGCACATCTTCTATCCAGAGTAATTTAAATAATTTATGTAGACACTTCACCTGCAAGGAAGCAAAGCATAACTTCCCATTCCTTAAGTATGAGCTGCTCAGAGTGACTTCTAGCCAAAGAGTAAAGTATGGAGAGAGGAAAAAAAAAAGAGTAACTTACCAGTGGGGAAACCTGACAAACAGTATCCTAGTCATGTGGTCACAGTCAGCCTCCACAGTGATAAGTCATGTTGACAGTGTGGACCTCTGATACACTGTGGTGAAATGATACCAATCTCTGTGGTATCCTCCCCAAATCCCTTAGCTCTAGTATAATCATGAGAAAAACAGCAGAATAATTCCAATGTAATTATATTCTACAAATTACTGATTAGTACTCCTAAAAACTGCCAAAGTCATTTTAAAAAAATGAAGGTCTGAGAAGCAGTCACAGCCAAGAAGAGCCTGAGAAATCGTGAATAAATATAATGTGGTGTCCTGGATGGAATCCTAGAGCAGAAAAAGAACATGAGAAAAAAAAACCAAGAAAATTGGAATCAAGTATGGATTTAATAATAATATAATAGTATTGATCCATCAATTTTAACAAATGTGTATACTAAGGTAAGATGTTAATAATAGGGAAAAAAGGAATGTGGGCTATATGGGAACTCTCTGTGCTATTTTCACAATATTTATATAAATCTAAAGCTGTTATAACATAAAAGTTTATAAAAAGTCTCAAAATTTTTAAATAAAAGATCTGAACATCTTTTACTCCAATATTTAAATTTATAATCACTGAAAATATTTTTATTATAGTATGCAATTTATTCTTACCCAGTAATTAACTTGTTTTAAATCTCATAATAATTTTTTTTGGAATAAATATTGATATTACTACCCAAGATTTTGATGAAAGATAATGGAAGATTCAGGAAAAAAATGAAAATGTTAAAAATGGTAGAGATGCAGACATAATGCATCATATTATTAATGATGTCTTAAAATGTATTCAGCATTTGAAACTAAACATGAGTTTATGTTTAGACAGATGGTTAAATACGCTATTTCTCTAGTTGCTTTTTAGTAGCAGGAAATTGATCTTAGAGATACCATGTTTTTATATAATCAATAAATATTGAAATTCTACTTTTATAGTAAAGGAATAACTTTATGTCAAAGTTGGAAATAAACAGATATTATAGTTTTTCCCAACACAGTCTTTAAAGCAATTTTGAAAAATAATTGATAAAACAAACAACCAATTTCTCATGGATATCAAAAAATTAAGTAATTTAAATAGAGAGGGAGACAAACCATAAGAGACTCTTTAAGATAGAGAACAAATTGAGGGTTGATGGAGGGAAGTGGTTGGGGGATGGGCTGAATGGGTGATGGGGATTAAGGAAGGCACTTGTGAGGAGCACGGGACATTGTATGTAAGTGATGAATCACTCAATTCTACTCCTGAAATCAATATTATACTATATGTTAACTAAATAGAATTTAAATAAAAATTTGAAAAAAAAGATTGCCATCAAAAATAATTTAAAAAGAAAGAAAAAAGATTAATTTATATCATCAAATTACAATTTTTATCATCAAATTACCTTTTATTTATAAATGATTGTTGCAACCTATCTTTACTATAATCAGGCTGCTTATGCATTCCAATTAAGTAAAACCAGGTCCACAACCCACAAAACTTATTTAGGGAAAATAATATATTATGCAGCATGTTCAGTTAACTATTGAAAACAGTCAATCTCTTTCTTTTCAGGGGCAATAGCAATAATCCAGTGATAGCATAAGTGAATTTCCTGCTCTGTTTCACCCACACTTACTTGATAAACACTTTATAAAGTGTTTATCAACCTAATATAACAGAAAATGACAAAGAAGGACAAAATAATTTACTGTTCCAAAGACTGAAATGAGGATTAATTTTGAGGAGTCCAGTCTTTTACTGTGGAATTCACCATACATTTTACTTTGAAGTCTCATTTACCTAAACTATATCATATTTTGGCTCTGCATTTTTTCCATAGTGTCAGGGTGTCAATTTTCTATGACCATTCTTTTTTTTTTTTTTTTTGATTTTTTGCTAAGTTTTATTTTAATCCAAGGACTTTGATTCATACAAAATGTCATTGTAGAAACAATAGCAGAATCCAAAGTCTGGTTTATCAATATTACTCAGGCAGCAAACTCGTCAATCACAGGATGTTTTAAAGCAGGTCCCAGTTGTGTTGCATGGTTGGGACTTCTTTTTGGGTTTTTTTTTTTTTTTTTTTCTATGACCATTCTTAATTTTATTAAGTTTCTCATGTAACTAAAATAAAATTCTCTAAAAGCATTAAAAAAACACATATGCATTTTATATGTATTAAAATATATGTTCACCATTTATTTATTATGATGAGCACAAAATGAATCTGTATCAGATATTTCATACATCGATTTATCTTAATATTATTCATTCTGATAAATAGCTTCTTTCCTTACATCATAGTGTTTGTGAATAAAATTTTAAGTTACAGAGAGAATTATTCATGCATGTAGCTTTTTAATTAAAAAGAGAAAGATTAGTTAACCTTTTTTCAAGAGATAACCACATGAAAGGCAACTTTTAATTACTCCTTTGAAGTTTCTTTCCCAGTTGCAACCTCAGGTTTCAAAATGAACGCTGGGAATGAGCGAACACTTGAGAGAAGAGATCGATCCTATCCTAGATGGTGTCTGAATGCTCAGTGGAGTGGAGAGGTGCAGGGAAATGCACCCTCTTGGTCACACTGAACCATGGCAGTACGTTTACGATGCACAAGGGCGGAGGTTGAGACTTTTTTCTCTTCCTTCTGCTCTTTTCATTGTACCCCGGGAATTCTTCTTCCTTACAGGTGGCCTTAAACACTTTGCCTACAGGATCTGCTTCATAATTGCTTATGCTTTGCTTTATTGGCGTTCTCCACTCTTACACTCGATGCTATGCTTGATGGCTTACCATTTCTCTGTCTTTTCAGACGACATCCTTTGTGGTGCCATAGCACATGGATTTCAGGACTGCCTGTGAAGAGGTATGTTACATGGCTTTCTACTTTTTGAATAAGGAAAACAGGTTATAAACGGGACATACTTAGCCCTTCTTTATGTAAGTGGAACGCTGCTTTTGGCAGAGGGATGGGTGACAGGTCCATTTTATTTCCAGGGTATGATCTGTTTCTGCAAGACTAAAAAGCCAAAGAGTGCCTGGGAAAGCCTTGGATTTTCACTCTTCCTTAAGAAGACTGGAGCATATTTGATTTGATTACACTGCCCTTCTCCATAAACTATGCACTCACTGCATGATTTCAGGTAGTAGAAATGTTGGAAGTAATTCTTTTCACATAAATGGTTATAAATTAGAAGACATCTGAAGTCCCTTTCAGCACTAAAATACTATGATTTTATGATTCCAATATTATTTATTTTAATATTATTTAAGTATATCAATTCGGATCCTCTGTAGAGCTGTCTTCACACTTTGGTTTGAATTAAAGTGATACTTTGCTCTTTTAAGGATATTAAAAGCCATTCAAGTAGTGCATGGAATTAGGCCCCAGGGGATATAGCCATTCTATTTTAGGAAAAAGCACTATTTTACTAAACATTCAAAGCATTCTTTCATTCTTCAGGCAAAATGCAAACACTCATAGGTTAAAATATTCCATATTTGTTTAAAAGGTTTAAAATATTTTTATTATATATATAGATACCCCAAGAAAAACAACCATAATTAGATTACCTATGATACAGTTAAAAACAAACCAACAAAAACTTGTTATTAACATTTGTGAGGATTGTTCTTTTTTTTTTTTTAAAGATTTTATTTATTTATTCATGAGAGACAGAGGGAGAGAGAGAGAGAAACAGAGGGAGAAGCAGGCTCCCAAGGAGCAGGGAGCCCGATGCGGGACTTGATCCCAGGACCCTGGGATCATGACCTGAGCCGAAGGCAGACGCTTAACCATCTGAGCCACCCAGGCGCCCGAGGATTGTTCTTTTAATGAGATGTCAAGTGTTAAGTTTCTTGCAAAAATAACTTTATTTTTTTATTTTTATTCTTTTAAAGATTTTTATTTATTTATTTGAGAGAGAGAGAATGATAGAGAGAGAGCATGAGAGGGAGGAGGGTCAGAAGGAGAAGCAGACTCCCTGCTGAGCAGGGAGCCTGATGTGAGACTTGATCCTGGGACTCCAGGATCATGACTTGAACCGAAGGCAGTCGCTTAACCAACTGAGCCATCCAGGCACCCAGCAAAAATATCTACTTTTAAAAAAGCATTTGTCACAGTTGTTTCAAAGTTTAGAACATAAGCAAGATCTTTCAGAAAATTAATAAGTTGCTTATATATATTTTTAAAGATTTATTCATTTGAGAGAGAGAGAGAGCTCACGTGCATGCACATGCACCTGAGAGTGGAGGGGAGGGGCAGAGGGAGAAAATCTCAAGCCAACTCCTGGCTGAGCTTGAAGCCTGATGTGGGGCTGATCTCACCACCCATGAGATCAAGACCTGAGCCGAAATCAAGAGCCATTTGCTTTCACTGACTGAGCCACCCAGGCGCCCCACTTTTATATTTTAATACTTAAGCTAAACTTTTTATTTTCTAAAGGATTTTCTCTACACTAACACTCTTCAAAATTACATTATAGTTATTTATTTACAACCTCTCTTACATGCTGCAATAAATACTATAATGTCTGAGTGTATAATTTATTCATCCTTTTAACTCAGTATCTATCAGTTCATACTTTTTAAAAATAATTAATTCTTTAGAAACAAATTTAGAAACATAAATTTTAATTCTGTGACATTTCTAGTGTTAAATACGTAGTATCACACTCTTAATTTTGGATGTGGTAAGTCTGTTTCTATCTCAGTGCTTGTTACCTTATGTTTTGGGTAGTAAAGCACTCATTGTATGGATATTTGCATGAATGAGATACATATGAAAAACTTAGGAGATTCATGAGATCCTTAAAGACAAGGTAGTGGCCAAATACTGTTTTAACACATGGCTTACCTTGGACTTCAGAGGTTGACCTAAGATTGATTTTTCAGACCTTTTTTTTAAACAAAATTGTTTGATTCATTGATTTGGAATATATATCAAGTATTATTTAAGGTTCAGGGATTTATTTTATAATGGTAATACCATTGAGATCATCTTACCCTTGCTTCTGTAGATAGAGGTTCTTGTTCTTTTGCAATGAGTCCTTTGATAATTTCTACCATTTTAGACTGTCCCCAGGGAAGAGTAAAGCTGTCTCAGAACTGCCCAGCAGCCATGTGTCTTCCACATGCTGGCTGGGTTGGCAGGAGTACAGAATTATGAGATACTCTGAAGATGATCAAATCCCCCCGTAAATGGATCAAAGTCAATGAGTTTGTCTGAAATTTACAGTCTTAGAACATGTAAGTGGACAGAAACCATAAAGATAATTCAGCTTAACTCTCACCTTGCAGGTGAGGAAATTGAGAGGTTTTATGAAATGCTAAGTGCTATTTAATTAATTAGTTAAAAGCAAAACCATAATGTGTAGCTTAGAACTCCTGAGTCTAAGTTTGAGCATCTTTCTATATTATGTTGCTGGAAATTATAACATAGTCAAAGATATGTTGAATAAAACTTGATTTCTCTTGACTGCTAATAAGCTGTTAAAATGCAAATCTGATATCCATATCCATTGGACAGATCTAGCTAGATTATAACCATGCACATACTGGGAAGTTTTTTCTTTGAGAAGAAATGGAAATATGTCCAGTTCCATGTAAAATATCTTAATTTTCTAACACAGATCCTTTGTAAAAGAAAGGTTTATTAATTAAAAAGTTTCTCCTCTTAAAAAGAAAATGTTGCAATACTTTTAAGGAATTGGGATTTAGAATTCTGATAAAATGCAAAAGTGAAGGTAGAGAATACAATTGGGACAACACAAAACCCACAATTTAGAAGAAAAAGTGCATGTTATGGGCAGGCATAATTACTGATTTTCTGCTTTTAAAAGTGTCATCAAAATAATAACGTATCAGGGGCACCTGGGTGGCTCATCAGTTAAGTGTCTGCCTTCAGCTCATGTCGTGATCCCAGGTTCCTGGGCTTGAGCCCCGCATCAGGCTCCCTGCTCATCAGGGAGTCTGCTTCTCCTTCTCCCTCTGCCCCTTTTCCTTCTCCTCCTGCTTGTGCTCTCTCTCCCTCAAATAAATAAATAAAATCTTTAAAAAAATAAAACTGCAATGTGTTTAAGAAACCACTATGCTATCTTTAGTGTAGGTATTCCTCAAATTTCATTTTCACAACTGCCTTCCTTAAAATCTGATCCACATCTTTGTGTTGACCATGAAAATACATATTTTTCTATAACATATATTTAATAATTTAAAATTCATTTACATATATAATTTAATTTAGTCCTTCATATAATAAAAATTTGTGATTATGATTCAATCAACACATATTGAAAGAAATCCTACTATCAATTAAACACTGTACTAGGTCCTATGTATTAATAGTCTTTAATGATAAAAACAGTGTTAACTCACTATTAAGATCTCCTTGTGAAAACAACGTATGTGATGAGGTTAAATATGTAATATTACTGAAGTCACTACATGTGATGCATAAATACAGTTCTGGTTAATTGTTAGGTGAATATATTTATTCAGTGAAAACCCTGAGTTCAGAAAAGGAAGCATTATCTTGGATGGAGTGGTCTTGGTAAGCCTCAAGGCGAAGTGAGTCTTGTACTAGCACTTGACAAATGACTAGAATTTAGCCAAGGAAAAGGCCATGACAAGGGAGGACAAAATGCAATTGGAGGCATACTGCATCAAATGGCATTTAGGACAATATTGCTATAATATGGTAGGGTATAAGAAATTACACGTCATTTAAAACTACAAGTTTACAGAACAAATTAAATTATATTTGGCAATCAAAATATGAAAATATCAAGGATACCTGCAAAACTATGTACAGGACATGTCATGGTCTCTGCCCAGTTCCTTGTAGTTTGTAGTTTTTTATGTCTGATTTCAAGAATAAAGGAACATAGATTTTAAAAGTTTCATGAAAGCAGGGGCACCTGGGTGGCTCAGTTGGTTGAGCATCTGACTCTTGATTTTGGCTCAGGTCATGATGTCAGGCTCTGCGCTCAGTGCAGAGTCTGCTTGAGATTCTCTCTCTCTCTCCCCCTGCTCACACACTTGCTCTAAATAAATAAATAAATACATAAATACATAAATAAATAAAATCTTTAAAAAATTTCATGAAAGCACATGTTCTTTCAAAGTCTAGAACCTAAATTAAAGATGCTTTAACTTTTTAAGATTTATTTATTTGAAAGAGAGAGAGATTGAGAGAACAGGTGGGAAGAGGGGCAGACAGAGAAGCCGACTCCCTGTGGACCAGAGAGACCAAGGCAGGACTCAATCCCAGGACCCTGGGATCATGACCTGAACCGAAGGTAGATGCTTAACTGACTGAGCCACCCAGGTGCCCAAAGAGGCCTTAACTTTTAAGTATAATGGAATCATAGCCAATTTTTTAAAGTTCCAAGGTAATAGGTTTAAGCTAAGCATAAATTCTTAAGTTTAAATGTGGGGTTTGTTTGTTTAAAACAGAGTAAATCCATATAAATCCATAGACACACTTCATTGATTTACAGAAACAAATAGACTAGATTTTTAAAAAGTATTGCCTGTTAAATAATCAAGAAGCATGGCCTTTTAATATTCCTCTAAACAAACAATGTGGATTTTGTAAAATCCCCCTGCAATAGAGTATCATCCATCAGCCACAGGCAAACAACGTTTGAATCTATTATTTTTTATGACTCATCCCTTTAAAATTTCAAGTTTTATAATTTACATAATATTTTGTACATGTTTACATAAAGCACATACATTTCTTTACTTATGTGCAATGGGTACACAGTCCACAAAGTTTGAAGACAGATGATTGTTATGTTAAAAAAGAAACAGATAGGTGCAGGACTTAAGTTTATAGTAAAATGTGCAGCCAATACTTATTTAGGAGATTTTTTTTTTCAGCAGTTGTGCTGTACTAGTGATCACTCTCACAGTCTTGGTTCCCATTCTTAACCCTGAAGCAATCTATGGGGGATGAGGCTGTGCAGATTAAGCCTCTCCCCATGTCAGACAGTGTCCTATGCATCCTCAGTAGTTTGCCTTTGATGGGAAAATCATCAGATCAGAGTGGTATCACTCACTTTACCCCCCCCCCCATTGGTTATTGCTTTTGATAAAGGAAGAACAGTTGGTTCGTGATGACGGACTTCTCACAACTCTTTGTACTCCCATAGGAGATTCTTGGTGACCAAAGTGTTACCTCCTGGTGAGAGACACTGATGGCCATGTCACTGTTTCTAGGAGGATTGGGTGAGGCATCCCTCAAATAATCTGTTCATGAGGGAAACCAGAGCAAGGGGTTAGGAGCACAGAATCTGGAGCCCAGCAGTCTGGGTTCAGATCCTGAGTTCCATTCATCTCTGCTCCTCTGCTCTATTCCTGCCTATGGAAACAGTTGCACTGGATTGTTAGGAGGATCAAAAGAAATAATATTCCTGGAAACACAGTAAACTTTATGCAAGTGGTTATTGAACAATAAATGAATTTAGGACTACATTTCACTAGTGGTGATATCAGTCCAGCAATGCTGTTCTGAATCAGAAGAGTGCCCTGAAACGGATTTTACCCATTCTTTTAATCTACTGTACCAGCTCTGATTCTAATGCAGTTGTTTACCAGCCCTCAACATCTTCTGCTCAAGGTTTATATTTCTGTTAACAAAAACTATGTTGTAACTTTCCCAATTCCTATTTATCTCCTGCTCTAAGAAATATATTTATAAAACATAAATCACTGTTCAGATTTTTCTAGGACATCTCTAATACCTTTAAACTCCTGGAACATCACATTAAGGCCTTGACCTTCCTCCTCTTCACCTGGCACCTCTCCTCCCTTGGCCTTTGCTGGATCATGCAGACTTAGGATTGGGATGCATTCACATGCTTCTCTCTTCTTGCATCATGTCAGTTATCCATTCTCATACATTCACATTTTACTCCTTTTTCCCTCTTGAATAAAATAACTTTTGTCTTCTCTAATTATTTCTTCAATTTATTTTTTAAGACAAGCCATACATTTTTTTAATCTATAAAACCTTCTTTAACACCTCCCTCTCTCAAGAATATTTAACTCTTCTCTCCATGTTGCTCCCACGTTAGATATCACATGGCATCTTATGTATATATGTATATTTTTGTAAGTAAGAATACTCTGAGGTCAGACAATATTGTCTGATTCTTGTCTGAATTATTTACAAATTATTTGAAAAATTGATATATTATGGGATTTTAAATGTATTTTCATGTACACAGCTGAATTTTTATAAGAAGATATTATGTGACATCTATAACCCCTAAAGAATGAATTTAAGTTGAATTTGTTGGTAAGCTTCATTAGTACTATTTTCTGTTTTCTTCAAATAGCTATTTATGTCTGTGTGTGTGTGTGAGGGGGTATTCATTTTAACAAAAGCTACTTCATTCTTTGTTTCATTTAATTCTGTCTTTTCAGGACCCAAATGTGAGCTCAAAGTCTGTATTCTGTTTTGCAGACAACTTTCTAATAATTAGGGGACGTTTTATACATTATTTGAGTGAATGGAGCTTTGACCACATTGGATGTGATGAGAGAAGTTTCATAGCTGTGTTTTTGTCCCTCCAACTTTCCCTGGATGATCTTTGATGGCTCTTTGATGTGTAACAATAATGTATTTATGGGCTCTCGGGGAAAACCCCTCTTTCATCCTCATGTTGAGACAGAGCATTATTTGTGATTGCCAGCTATTCCATTATACTTCTGGGAGAAAATTGGCCCGAATGTACTGTACATTAAAAAATCAGCAAATGTGCTCAATTATGTTCACTTGGCTTTGATATTATTTTATACCCTCCTCTTTGCCATGCCACCTCAGAGAGTCCTGATGTTGGCTCCCAGCCAAGATCACATTGTAAGCATGAAAGACTTTTCTCTGTGAAAAATGTAGAAAATTATGTTCTATATTAAGGAAAATATCATTTGCCTTTGCTGAAATATTTTTGTCCTCTAGACATATCCACTTGAGTTATGCTCTAGAATAGATTAATAGACACAATTTAGTGAGTGCATGCTGTGCGCCAGTCTCATATAAAGGAGGAAAGAACAGCATCCTTGCTCCTGGAAAAAACTTGTTTTTCCTTAAAAGATATCATAACCCTTACAATATAATTACAGACTAATATAAGACCATAGTGATACAGAGTATAATGGGATAAAGCATTTACAGAAAGGATTATCTTTAGAGGCATCAGTAAGTATGTTCCCATTTACATTATGAAACATTCTTTTAAAGAAATAAACTCCTAGCAATCCATATGTAAATTTATATTCCAAGAGAAAGCCTGGTATCAGTGCCTGGAGTTTTGTGCTCATTAAATACTAAGGATAAATACATATTTCTATATAGTTATCCTTTTATCCAAATTAAGAATGGCTTAATAATTATTAAATGAAAATGTAATTGCCAAAGTGGTCATTGTTCCTGTTGAGTTTTTGGTGCAGAATGACAGCCAGCGATTATTTTCTATCTCAAAAAAATTTCCTTTTGTATTTCTGACAAATGGGAACCTTAAGTGCATTTTCTAAGGAGCATATTTCTATTTATCTGGGTGAACATTGTACACTGACATGCTTCAGGAGTGATGGGTTTCATGGGCTTCTTCAGTGATTACTGAGATACTGGTGTAAAGCTATGTAGTACAAGTTCAGCAGTCTTCACAGGCTGTTTTTACAATTCCCCAAAATATGTGAGGCAAAAACAATGGATTGGAAATCACAAATCGTGGGTCCTAAGCCAGGCTCTGTTTTTAATTAACTATATTAATTTAAGCCGTTCACTTCCCCCTTTATCCTCATTTTCTCATCTGTACAACCTGTGTGAGTGTGTGTGTGAGTGTGTGTGAGTGTGTGTGTGTGTGTGTGTGGCGACTAGGAATGATGAAATCTTGGAGGATAGAAAAGATGTTAAGTAGGTATGGTTTCAGATTCAAAATTCTATGATAGAGACAGAATGTAGATTAGTGGTTGCCTAGGGCTGGGGAGGGGAGTGGAATGATGCACGTAATAGTTTTCCTTTTAGAGTGATGAAAATGCTCTAAAGTTGATTATAATGATGCCTACACAACCTTGTAATAAAAAACATTGTCTTACACATCTAAAAGGGTTGAATTGTATAGAATGTAAATTGTATCTCAATAAATCTGTTACCAAAAATTTTATATTTACATTATAAGTATTAAACAAAACTTTCATTATTTTTCAAATATAGAGTATAAACTATACTCTTTACTCTCCTAATCTTATGTGGATTTTCTGACAAATCTTATTACCTGAGGTCTACTTCACATGAAATGGTTAACCTTGTCTCTGCACCTATATTAAGTATTATGCTCCAGATTCATCAGAGTGCATTTTCCTTAGCTCTCAAATGCTATTCATCATGTTTTGCTGTGAATAAGCCATAAAATTATATTCTATAAACTAAGTATAATTTTTTTCTCTGTTTTGTTCTTTTCTTGCCTGAAGACAAAGACAGGGATTTGTTTGCTGCAGGATGGTAATCAGGAGCCTTTCAAAGTCCGGCTGCACCTAGCCAAAGATATTTTGATGATCCAGGAACAGGATGTGATATGTGTGTCTGGTGAGCCTTTCTATTCTGGTGTAAGTAGCTTTCCTTCTGTTGAAGTTTTTTGTTTTTGTTTTTGTTTTTTTCAAATTTTTTGTGAATAAAAATATTTATTCACAGAAAATTCATAATATATTTTCCTTTTACTTTCAGAACATAGTCAATCCTCCTGCATGTAATTTTTGTTGACATTATTAAGTAAGCCGTGTCCTTGTATAAGTACCAAACCTATGTCCACAGCCAACCATTATGGCCCATCCCCACACATTAGGACATCTCATTGACTCCCAGTTGTTAAGTGGCTGCAGTGACACTTGTATTATCTGACCTCGAGAAAGTGCATTCTACCTTTTCATACAGAGGACTATCTGAGAACAGTGCAGGGCAGTGTTTCCTGCCCGTCTTACCTTGCATCGCACTGGACTTTTGGAGGTGGTACAAAGGTGGAGCCCGATGCTTTGCATTTGAGAAGCATGAGGATTTAGGTGGCAGTCACTGGACTCAATGGCAATGCTTTTCCCCAGGGGACTGTGCATGAATGATTCCATGGACCTCCTTGATAGAATTATGCCCAAGCGTCATAGCAAGTTCTGTCTAACTCTCTGTTTGGCATATTACCCTGCTGCTAATCCAGCCTCAGAAAAAGCCATAAATTATCACTCAAAACTCATTGGTCTGCTTATGAGCACTGAAGTACAACTGTGGAAGACATCTTTAGTTGAAATTAGATTATATTCAACAAGACAATTTTAACATTAAAGAGGACAACTTTTAGAGTTTATCATTTATTATGTAATAACATTAAAGACATTATTTTAACACTGTTGCCAAATGTGATCTCAGAAGAAAATTACAGCAAATAACAAACAGTACTCTTCCTGGATTCCCAGACATCTATAGCTATTTAGTACAAAGATTTAATTTGTAGCTTATTCACAGACTTACCTTGGAGTATTTTGTTGGTGGTGAATAATGCTGAACTGGAGTTTCCACCTCACCTTCCACCAACATCCTATGGGAGTCACACCAGGTCCTAAATCAACAGGCCCTTGCTAACTAAAGATAATGGACATTTTGCAGACTGTTAACTATTCTTTTGTCACCATTTAAATCACCCTGAATCATGGGTCCTCCTGTCAAAGCTGATTAAAATGTTCCTATGGAGTGCCCATTCTTCCTTTTAGTTAATAAAAGAATAGCAGTCAATGGTCACTTTCTCTCCCTTCCTTCCTTCTTTCTTTCTTTCTTTCTTTCTTTCTTTCTTTCTTTCTTTCTTTCTTTCTTTCTTTCTTTCTTTCTTTTTCTTTCTTTCTTTTTCTTTCTTTTTCTTTTCTTTTCTTTTCTTTCTTCTTTCTTTCTTTCTTTCTTTCTTTCTTTCTTTCTTTCTTTCTTTCTTTTCCTTCCTTCCTTCCTTCCTTCCTTCCTTCCCTCTTCCTCCTTCTCCTCTCCTCTTTCTCTCTCTCTCTTTTCAGTGAAGAAATATGATTCATACATATAACTCTCTGTAATGAATATATTACACAAATTCTAGATAAGTGAAGTGTTGTAATTTGTAAAATTCAGTCTATCAATACTGAAATAATGTTAACTGATTTTAAACTATGCAGTCAAAATAATTAATACACAAAAACCCAATCTCTCTTTTGAAAAGAACGCTGGGAAGAACTTGACAGAATTAAGGAGAAATATCCTACGATAAAATCAACAAATGTAAAAAAAATTGACAAAATTTGACAGTCATTTATAAGAAACACTTTCAGCAAAGTCTGGATAGCATGGAACTCCCTTAATTCAATAAGCCTCTAATGAACACTTCTCACTAACATTATAGTTTATATTGAAGATACTCTCTGAGGCTGTAAGCAAGTCAAGGATCATCACTTGCTTCATTTTTACTCAATATTGTTTTGGTTGTACAGTAAGTCACGAAATGGATATAAATGGCATAACAGTTGGGAAAGAAGAGGTAAACAGCTCTATTTTAGATGTCATGTTGGTGTACATAGAAACCCCTAAGGAATCTACAAAAAATAGAGTAACATACAAATTAGGTTGCTGGCAATAAGGACAATGTCCAAAGTTAATTGTATTTCCATAATTTGCAACAAACAAAATAAAAATGGAATGCACAATACATCGAAGAGATAATACACGCAGGAATAAATTTAACAAATATGTACAAAGTTTTTACCTTGAAAACTATAGAACTGTGGTAAATGAAATTAAAATAAACAAGTTAATGGAGAAATGTAACTAAATATTGTTTTCAAATCTTCCTAAACACCCAGTATCAATTAAAATCCCCAAAATGTTTTTGTAGACCATGGCAAGTTGATTCTAAGATTTACATGGACATACAAAGACTCAGTACAGCCCAAACAATCTTTAGTAAGTAGAACAAAGTTGGAGTGTTTATACTTCCTAATTTCAGAACTCACTGTAAGATTGCCAAAATGAATACAATGTGATATTGTCACAAGGCACATGAACCAAATGGAACATTATAGAGTCCAGAAACAGACCCACGCTTACATGGCCAATTGCTTTTTTTTTGTGTGGTAAACTATACATAACATAAAATTTACCATTTTAACCATATTTAAGTGTACTGTTCAGTGGCATTGATCATATTCACATTGCTGTGAACCTATCATTGCTATCCATATCCAGAATTTTCATCATCCCATTCTAAAACTCTGTGCCTATTAAGTAATACTCCCCTCAGCCCTTCATAACCTCTATTCTACTTTGTTTCTATTAATTGACTCGTAAGTGGATCACACAATATTCACCTTTTTGGGTCCGGTTTATTTCATTTAGTATAATTCTTCAAGGTTCAGCCATGTTGTAGCATGTATCAGAATTTCCTTCCTTTATAAGACTAAATCATATTCTATTCCCATGTATATACCGTATTTTGTTTATCTTGTTTATCCATTCATCCAACAGTGTACATTTGGGTTGTTTTCACCTTATGGCCCTTTGGAATAATGCTAATATGAACATGGGAGCACAGATATATGAGTCAGTGTTTTTCATTCTTTTGTGTATGTTCCCAGAAGTGGAATTGCTGGATGAAATGGTAATTCTGTGGCAGTTTTTTTGTTTAATCTCTTATCAGATATGTGATTTGCAAATAATTTTCTCCCAACATATGGGTTGCCTTTTTACTCAGTTGTTTCCTTTGATGCACAGATTTTAATTTTGATGAAGTTCAGTTTATTTATTTTTCTTTTGTTGACTGTACTTTTGGTGTTATATCTAAGAAATCATTGCCGGATCCAATGTCATGAAGATTTTCCCCTATATTTTCTTCTAAGAGTTCCTAGTTTCAGTTCTCACATGTCCATCATGTATATTGATTCATTTCAAATTAATTTTTGAATATGGTGTTAGGTCCAGCTTCATTCTTTTGTGGGTGGGTATCCAGGTTTTCTGACACCATTTCATCTTGGTACCCTTGTCAGAAATCATTTGACCATGTACGTAAGGGTTTATTTCTGAGCTCTCTATCTATAAGTCTATCTGTCTGTTTTTATGTCAGAACCATACTGTTTTGATTACCTTAGCTTTGTGGTAAATGTTGAAATCAGGAAGAGTGTACCATCCAGCTTTGTTCTTTCTCAAGAATGTTTTGGCTACATAGAGCTCCTTGAGATTCCATATAAATTTTAGGATGGATTTTTCTATTTTCATAAAAAATGACATTAGAGTACTGAATTAGTAGTTAGCTTTGGATAATATTGCCATTTCAACAGTAGTGAGCCTTCTAATCCATGAACACAGGATGTCTTTTCATTTATTTATGTCTTTAATTTCTTTTGGTAATGTATTGTGGTTTTTAGTGAATGTCTTTCACCTTCTTGTTAGTTAATCCCGCTTTTTTTATTATTTATAGGCTATTGTAAATGGAGTTGTTTTCTTAATTTTCTTTTCTTTATTCAATGGATTTTTCTGTATTCTCTGTATCCTGCTACATTGCTGAATTTTTTTTTTTTAATTCTAATGTCTGTGTGTGTATGTGTGTCTGTGTGTGTGTCTGTGTGATGTATGTGTATAATCTTTAGGATTTTCTGTATATAAAATCATGTCATCTGTGAGCAGAGATAATTTTACTTTTTTCCTTCCAATTTGGTTATCTTTTATATCTTTTTCTTGCCCAATTTCTCTAAGACTTCTATTACTATGTTTAATAGAGGTGGTGAAAGTAGGCATCCTTACTTTGGATCTTAGAGAAAAAGCTTTAAGTCCACCTCTGAGTCCAGTCTTACCTGTAGGTTTTTCATATATGGCCTTTATTATTTAGAGGTAGTTTTCTTCTAAGATTTTTGCCTGTTAAAAGGGTGTTGAATTTGCAAAATGCTTTTTCTGCATCAGTTGATAAGATTATATGTGTATTTCCTTCATTCTGTTAATATGGTATATTATAATGATTGAATCTCATATATTGGATCATCTTTGTATTCCAGGAATAAATTCCACTTGGTCTTGATATATAATATTTTTAATATGCTGCTGAGTTCAGTTTGCTAGTATTTTGTTGAGGATTTTTGCATCAAAGTTCATAAGGGTCGTAATAGTTTATTTTCTTATAGTCTTTTTCTGGTTTTGGTATCAAGGTAATATTTATCCTCAGTGGGTAAGTTAGGATGTTTTCCCTCCTCTTAGTTTTTTGTAAGAGTTTGAGAAGAATTGGTATTATTTCTTCTTTAAATGTTTGGAAGAATTGACTAGTGAAATTAGCAGGTTCAAGACTTTTCTTTGTTGGAAGATATTTGATTACTGATTTAATCTCTTTACTAGTGTTATATCTGTTCAAATTTTCTATTTCTTCATGGTTCAGTGTGAGTAGGTTTTGTGCTTTTAGGAATTTGTCCATTTCATCAAGGCTATCTAGTTAATTCTTCATTCTCTCTTTGGATTTTTTAAAATTTCTATCAAGTTGGTAGTAATGTCCTCACTTTTTTTTTTCTGATTTTAGTCATTTCTTTAGTGTTTAATATTCTTTTTATCTTAGCCAATCTAGGTAAACAGT